AATTACATACAAGAGGAAGTGAGGGGTAAGGGAAGAATAATACAAGTGGAAGAAATGTTTTATAGTAGAGGGGGTTGAGAGAGAAGAGGGGAGGGGAGGGGAGGGGAGGGGGGATAGTAGAGGTTAGGAGAGCAGAATTCATCAGACACTAGAATGGCAATATGTAAATCAATGGAATTGTAATTGATGTAATTGATGTGATTCAGCAATCTGTATACAGGGTAAAAATGGAAGTTCATAACCCTTTTGAATCAAACTGTGAAATATGATATATCAAGTTAGATATAATGTTTTGAACGACCAACAAAAAAAAAAGAAAAAGGAAAAAAAAATAAAAAAGCTTTCCCTTAACACCAAAATCCACAATAATTTTTTTAGTACTTATTGCACAGTATTTCACACTTACCATTAATTAATGATGTGAATTATTCATTTCCCATTAAAAATATTTGTTGTTTCAATGTTTATGTCCTGTTGCCCCATAAAGGATGAAAGGGCCCCATCGCTTATACCTTCCTCTTTCTCCCATCCAATCAAGGAAACCTAAACCCTGCCCCTTGCATTTAACAACTATTAGCATAATAAGTGATTTGGGGCTAACAAGCTATTTAATAATGGTCTAAGGGATAATCACACCAAAACTGTTACCTTAATAAGGAATTATTCTAGAAGTTTGAAAAGTCCTAGAACTGAAGGAATGAATTAAAAATACAGGCTTGTATAATAAAAATGCTAGAAAAATATCTTGTATTGACAATAATATATCAAAGATAGTCACTGATACAAATTTTAAAAAGTCTTTGATAGAAAAATAAGATATCATTTGAAATAAAAATTTCATCTTGAGAATTATTATTGTTTTCTACTACTGTTTCTTTATTTCAATAAATTGTAATTCAGTCTATTTTACTCTTGTTTTTCTATCTATAAGTTCATAGGGTGTGTCCTATTCACAGAGAAATAATTATGAATGGCTAGAATTTAGAGTAGGGTCACAAGTACTGCTTCTCTTCCACTTTCTTCTGCCAGATTATGAAGAGTGTCAAATTTTCCATTAACTGCTATAACTCAAGTTTCTTTATGAGGTTAATCATACTTGATGTTGTCATGAAATCCACTCGGTTCCCAAACACCATTCCAAGGGAAGAAAAACTGGTAGCTATCTGAATCCTTTTATATTCCTAAACCATTTTAATAAATAATAAATGTATTGCTGATTTAGTTATATGACATGTTTCTACGTTAAATCAAGGTTACTATCTAGTAGAAATTAAAACTACGGCCAATTATCTTTTCCCTTTGGTAGACAAGAGATAGTTAATTGATCCCTATATACATACAACAGCTGCTTAGGAGGGATGGAAAGCTCCTGTGAAAAAATGTCAAAGATATTTTAGATATAACCAATTTTTAAACTTTTATATTTCTTACTTACAGACAGAAAGGTCAGAAATTCTGACCCTCTCAAATTGACCTTTGTTACCATCACCTAATTATTCAAAAATTTCAAAATTATATTTCTGCATATTGTATCTTATACCAAAGACTGTATTAACTTTCCTAAAATACACTTGTGTCTGTTCTTAAACTACTGGGTTATGGCTGGGCACATGGCACATGGTAATCCCAGCAACTCCAGAGACAGAATCAGGAAAGTCACAAATTGGAGTCCAGACTCAGCAACTTATTAATACCCTGAATTACAATAAAAAATAAAAAAGGTCTAGGAATATATAGTTCAGTGGTAAAGCATGCTTGGGTTAAATCCACAATTATTACAAGAAATAAAAATTTTGAAAAATAAACTACTGAGTTATGGACAGTAGCTAATGAGAGGGCCATCGGTTTCTAAATAGTGTAATTTTTAGTCCTGGACTCTATGAGATTACAACATGGATAATCAACTTCCCTATGTTACCTAGCTAAAAATCTAATAAATTCTTTCTCAGGAACACATCTAAGCAAGAATTTTATAAATTTTAAGTATTTGTTAGACTAAGAAACAAGACCTGTCATTTCTGGCACTTCCACTCGATTGCTGTACAATTAAGTCCAGTGTTTCTGGGCTTCATATTTTTTGCCGATAATGTAAAGGGACCATTAATGATCTCTAAAATCCCTCTGGCACCAAACTATATGACTCTGATTTAGTTAACAGAAAGGGAAGGAAAAAATATTTCTTAAATTTTGTTTCTAATCTTAAAGTGAATAAAAACATTTATGCCTGATTATCAGTCATAAATAGGTTAAAGTGCACCCAAATAAATTATAAAATTACTGATTTTTTCAAGTATGAGATAAAGAAAATTGGTTTTGGTAGGACCCATATATAGACTCTTATAATTTTAAGTCAGTCTTATCATTTTAAATCAGATTTAAATTGAAATTGAAAAATTTTAAGTCATTACCATCCACTCATTAAAGTGGCAAGTTTTAATTTTTAAACAGAACTGAATTGTAAATGCTAAAGCCAAATCTAGGGATTTGCTAGTGTTTCTCTTCTTCTGGGCAAAAGTCAAATTCTCTTTTAGACAAAATAGGGATGCATATTAAAATACAAAAAAAAAAGGATATCATTGTTTTAGACCTTTTATTTAGCACGATTTTTTATAGTTCGTAGTTTAATTATTAATGACAATGCAAAACAGAAAATCAAATTTTTTTCTTATGTTGGATCTTAAACAAGGATTAGCTTTTTCAAAATAAGCTGTGTCTATGCTTTCAAACCATCAAGAAACTTAATTCAATGTCAGTGATGCAAGGGAAAAAAGCCATAGTAACTAGAAAGTAGTTTAAAAAAAAAACTGTTTCTAATAAAGTATATTATAATTCAGTATGGAAAGAAATGGTCCCTTGGATTGGCAACAATCTCCCTTGCCTAAAAATTCACCTGTCAATCTATATTCTTTAGACATCACAAACAAAAACAAAACCCAGAAGATATCAATAAACCGGAGTGTGAGACACATGGGAACTCTCTGTTCCCATTGTCAGAATTTTTCTGTAAACCAAAAAATGATTCTAAAAAGTTAAAATTCCATGAGGAAATTGGGAGGGTTTTTATTGAGTGTGCGATATTAATGATCAAACACTTGACTCCAATTAGATTTGTCACAAGTTGCTTATTTCAAAATGCAATTAAACTTTCCCTCACAAAAGGCTCACCACCAACGTGCCATTAAAAATAATTTTTTTAAAAACACAGGCACATCAAGTGGCCTGCTCATTTCCATCTACTCAGTGAATAATCACCACATGTCTCTCTGAGAAACCAACTAGAACTTCTAAGAATCTTACAACTACCCTAACAAATACAAGTGAACAAAAGGGTTTACTCAAGTATGTAGAAGGTGAAAGACAACAGACACCAGAGGCCTCAAATTCTGAATGGAGTTCAAGGACACCATCAAGAAGCAGGCTTTTACTAATGATGCTCTCATTATGACTAAACAAAAAGTTAATATAGAGTTACACAAATGAAAGAAAAACCAATACAATTCTACATGGCTTAAAAGTATATAAAATACACTTATTACTATACTTATTCTCAAATTACTTACATCATAGCTTATTCATACAAGGGGATTCTTTCCCTAGGTTTTCTTGCTATGCAAATTAAAAAAAAATAGTTGCCCAGATAATCCGCTTGGTCTACCCTTCTCTCTGTCCATTCTAGTTTACTTACATGCTGTTATAATCTCATGTTTTGCTCAGATAATTTTTTAGATGTTGGGTTCATCACCTACTATTTGAACTTATTGGAAAGAAAGTCCCCCACCCCCCCACAGAAAAGCGGTAAAAATCTAGTCATTTTCTATGTGAACCAAAGATATCAGTACATCACTCAATGCCTGGCTTTAAGTGTAGAGTCCATTCTCTTTATGAAGTATGAAGCAGCACAGTCACCAAAGGGAATTACTGCTTTTCAATATCTCTTAAAAGTGACATTTACAGGGCAATTTATTTGCATTGTTATGAATTATCAAAAGAAAGACATTTTAAGAGTAATTTATTAATGTTAGAATATGTATACTTCAAGAGCCAGTTTAGATAAGAACTATTAAATAAAAAATGCAAATTCATTTCAAATACCATGAACTGCAGAACACTTAACAAGTGTTTGACACAGAAAAGATGTACAAAAAATACATGTTGAATGAAAAAGCAAACACAATTTAGGTATTCACTACCCTTCTCACAATTACACATTTTTTTTTTTCTAATTCTTTATACCTTCAGTCGTATTGACAATGAACTAAGTATGGTCATTATTACATTATCAATTTAAGTCATAGCAAAAAGTTCTGTACCCACTATTTTTAGTATATTTTTATAAGTCATTCCTTTGAGAAAATTATTTGAGTTAGCCTACTTGCAACAGTATCTCAGCAGAACATTGATTATTCTCAAGATAGTCTCAATGTTTTACCACCTTCATCAGACTGATTAAAAAGGAAACACTAAAAAGTTAGCATTAGAATAAAGAAGGGAAGAACAACGGAGATTCAAGTGCAGTTGAGTATTCAGTTACCACAAATTAGAGTGATGACTGATTTGAGAAAAGACATACTTAGCCTTTTATCCACACCCTTAATCACTGTTCAACACTGCTCTCAAGTCTACTTCTGGGTGCTTTAGGATATTTAAAATGGACATGAAATAAGAAAGAGACTGTAGGATTTTATACTCACTGGCAAATGTTCAAGTAATGAAGTTACACTCTCAGACACATATATTATACTTCCATCTGTCATGATTGCTAAAAAAAAACCATCAAGAGCCTGAAATTAAACATAATGGTCAGTTAAATGAAAAAAGTATTTCACAGGACAGAAATAAGATAAATGTCTAGGGACATAACATGGAAATATCCATAGTACTGACCTATCTTTTCCCCTTTATAGTACTTTTAAATGAATTATTTATGTATCTTTAAATGTCTTGTGGGGGGGGATCACTCTCTGGCTATCTACTTAACAGTTGATTTCTATACATAAAGACTAATGTTCTGCCTTTATCACTATATACATTATACAATCCAACTATATATATAACATGGCTTAAAAATGCTAACATCTTCAAAGTATACATACTACCAATAATATACCGTCAGCACAAAAGAGAACACATCATTATTATTTTGGATATGTATATTAACAGAGAAGTGTATTATTGAAATGTAGGGAAATACATAGGTAATAAAATAAAGGAAGTGGTAGGAAATTGGTATTTGAGGCTTTGATGATTGGCCTCAGCCTAGTTTTGCAGTTAAGTCACAAAGACTTAATTCTATACACAACGGGAAGTCAACACATTTTAGCTCCCTAAAATGTGCTTTAAAGAGAGTAGTCTAGAAGAAGTGTATAAAATTTACTTAGAGGGAACAGAGGACTGAGTCAATGGCTTTTGGGAAATTATTCATGAGATTCTGAAAGAAATTCTAATAAGAGGAAAAGAGAAGAAAAGATTTATTAGGTGAGCACTGAGAAATATGAACTTCTTTGGGAGAGATGTTAGACCATCATGTTGTTAGACTTAACAACAAAACAATCCTACATTTCATATTTTCCAAAGTATTTTCATTTGAGAATTCTAGGAACAGAAATGACAGCTGAAGAAATGAGATCTTCAAAAGACAGAAAAACATGCCAAAAAAAAAAAAAAATACTAGGAAGAATGACCTGCATATAGGGATGAGAAGAGGAGGAGAATACACTGTCATTAAAGAAGCGGATAAAAGCTGGACTTGGTGGCACATCCTGTAATCCCAGCTACTCAGGAAGCTAAAATAGGAGGATATCAAGCTCAAGGCCAGGCTGGAAAATTTAGCAAGATCCTGTCTCAAAATAAAAATTTTAAAGCTGGAGATATAGCTCAATGATAAGAGTGCTTGCCCAGCATGAGCAAGCCCCTAGGTTCAATCTTCAGCACAATTAGAAAAAAAAAAAAAGGTGGCAGAATAGAGTAGGACAAGGTCAGTGAGGATAAACAGGAGTGAAATCAAATAGGATAAGGAATAAGGAAATTAAGTTTGGTGATTTTCACAAGAGTTAAGTCAACAGGAAGGCAAATAAGACTCTGATGAGTTTAGAATGAGTGAGTAGTAAGAGGCTAACATAACCCATTCATTCATAAACTTTATTAGGTGAGCACTAAGAAACAGTGCTCCCTAAAAAGGACGGAGGGAAGGAGGAAGGAAAGGAGGGAGGGAGGGAAGGAGAGGAGAAGGGAGGGAGGGAAAGAGGAGAGAAGGGATGGAGGGAAGGAAGGAGGGAGGGGGAGAGGGAGGGGGAGAGGGAGGGAGGGGAGGAGGGAGGGAAGGAGAAGGAGGAGGGAAGGAGAAGGAGGAGGGAGGGAGGAAAAAAAACAGTTTTAAGGGGACCAAGTATTAGGGGAATGCATTTAAACAACAACAAAAGAATAACCAGGATATCTGAGGCTGAGGAAAAGGAAGATCCAGTGGAGAAACTAAAGATAATTTCTTTTTAATTAAAGAGTGCTCTCATAGGATAGTAACCTTTGGTGGGAACAAAGCAAATCTTAGTTTTCTTTATATCTGAAGTACCCAACATATGGTATAAGTAAAAACTTTTGAAGTATATAACTTATGAATCTGGGAATGAAAGCAACCTCTAGTTCTAAGTAACTGCTGAGATTACAGAAATAGACGTACTCCTCTACCTCCTCTGCTCTTGAGGGAAGAAATCTAGACAGCAGAGAAAACTTATTTTGAGTAGATCCCTATCTTCTAGAATGGCTCAGGCAAACCCATATTTAGTTAATTGAAGAGGAGAGTAGAAATCTTGTAATTTAAGACAATTTATAAATTATTTTTAAAACTCTTTAATAAAATAATACCAGTATTATTCCACTATTAGTAACTGTCTTATTATTGTTGTTATTTTTAGTAAGGCCAAAATGATTTTAAGAAGAAACCTGTACTTTTCTCATGTGAAGCTAGACTGTGTTACCACTGATAACAAATCAACATTTACTATAATATATCTACTTGCTATTAGGTCATTTGCTAGAAATTGATTGGAGTGCGTCTCTCTTCTGTAAAGAGAAATGAATTGAAATCAGAACTTCACTTCTAGATCTAAATCCCGATCTTTTCCTCTTTCAAAGCAGGCAGAGAGTAAGCAAAGAAAAGCCTCCAATTGTATCTTGCCAAAGTCTTGACACACAGAAGGACTCTGAGTGTCCACACACCTTTTGAGTGAGGGACATAATTTCCCATGAGGTAGGTGTATACCAAAAACTAAAGATTCCCTGAGGAGGATTATTAGAGAGACATGGGACAATAAGGCAGAGAACCATTCTCATCTCAAGAATGAAGACTATGAAGCCTCCCCCACATTGTATGAAAAAAAGGGCCAGAGCACATAGTTAAAAACCACTTGTTTTCCTATTTGATATCCACTTGACCCCCAGCAGTGATTGTTTAGTTGGGAGAAGAGTAGAATGCAAATTCTAAGGAAGGGAACAAAAGTTCCTTGTGGATCTACAGCAAAGATAAAGAGCACAAACCCTCTCCTTGTAGATTACTGGAGAGACCGGACAGTTGCCAAGGGATAAGAAATATATACTAGGACATTACTTCACACAAAGGTGATTCTGCAAAGAATTGATCAGATTAAACTATCCTGTTTGCCTTGCCTATTCCTTCTCCTTCAAGGGCAGCAGGAAATATTTCTCAGGCAACAGAAACAAATAAGAGAGGGGAAGAGGGGCAGGTGGCAATGAGGGACGGGAGAAAGACAGTTTTAAGTGAATTTTAAGATCTCAGTTTTAGTTCTTCCACTAATTCGCTACCTGACTGTGGACAAACTGCAATATCTCAGTATTTTTGTAAAATGAAGAAGAGGTTGAACTAAATGATCTAATCTCTTCTACTAGCAGCTCTGACATTCTAAGATACAGCCTACATCTGAAATTCTGCTGAAAACAGTAAGTGACCTGCTTATCTATAATCTGATCAACATGACTGGTCAAGAAGATAATAAAGCTAGGTATATTCTGGCCAAATGAACTTCACCCTAACAAAGTCAGTTCTATTTAAGTTATGAATCAAAACTTTTCATATTCAATAAACAAATATGGAAAGACTTTAGAAATGTAAAATCTAACATATCTTTTGAATTCTACCTTTCATTCTGGCATATTAACGTCAGAATGTAGATTTACTTAATAGCTGTACATATTAAAAATGCTTGACATATTAAAAATAAAGAAACAATTTTTTTTTTAGGAATGTATACTAAAATCTATGAAGGTAATCATGAGAGAATTATATTCTCAAAGTTCTTACATATCTGTTTTCTCTGTTAACAAAACAAATGTAGTAATCTCAAGAATCTTAGGTTTAGTTTTTCTTTAATGCTTATCTATTGACAATTAATTAAAAAAAAAACCTTTCCATTAGGAAGAAATATTTGTAAATAACCTTTTAATGCTTATTGGTAAACATTAAGGATATCAATAAATGAGAGTAGATATTACACCAATTTTTTAATTTATAAGAAATTTTTCATGCCAATAAAGCAAATAGTTTGATTAATATTATTAAACAACACATGAAAAGACTTACAGACACTGATAATATTATCATAAAATAAAATTTAGAAACAGTTATTTCCTTTTTCTGTTCTAGACATTAGCACATTATATTAGCATGTATGACATATTTTTGGACAATATCAAACTCTTTTATAGAGGAAAAAAACAAACAAAATTTGGGAGCTAAGGTTTGTAAGTAAGTATATACTAATTTAAAGAACTAACTGCTGGTTACACAGTAAAAAGTTCCTTGCCATGGTTGACTTTCACTAAAAATAAAAATTTGGTGGCAATGTCCACAGTAACTAAGGGCCTGGGATCAGAGGTCAGTCTACCTGCAGTGAATCCCAGCTGAGTCACCTACTTACTAGCTGTGTGATTTCAGACAAGTTTCATAATGCCTTTGTTACTTAATTTCCCTATATGGAAGTGAAAAAGATATTAATATCTACTTCGTAATATTAGTTATTATGACACACAAATACTACAATCTAGGATTGTTATGAGGATTCAATGAGTTAACAAGTGAAAAGTGCTCAGTTATTTTTCAGTTTCAAAGTAGAGGTTTAAATTTTACAACACATTTATATTCCAACAAATTTTCATAAGACAATGTTTCTGGGGAATACACAAAGACTCAGTCCAACAACTAACTGTTCCACCTAAAGTATAAGCAGAAAAACTCTAATTTGCAAAATACTTTGCTTCAGACTTTAGTAAATATACAAAGATATTTGAGACACAGACATTACATATACATATGTTATAAAGATAAATGCTTAATATCTAAAATAATAAATGCAAAGGACAGAGGTGAGTACATTTAACAATCTCTATATCCTCACCTCAAATGCTTTCTTGCATTTATGTCTATTTTATGTATTTTTCTTGTCCTTCACTTTAAATCGAAAGCAAACTACCTCTCTCCTATTATAAATTTTTGTAGGAATTTGATACTAAATTCTGTATACTTTGTATGCTTAGGTGACACCTACATTATTCTCCATGGGGAAGGATTAAAAAGTAGAAAAGTAAAATTAATAAATGTAAGTAATTCAAAACTTTTGTGGTATTATCACTGGTTGTATGAGGTATTAGGTTCTGTTATTACAAGCAAAAGTGCTCTGAATTGTTCTTCAAATAATTTTGTCACAGAAGAACATCTGTTCATTTCCTTTTAAAAGCTTCTACTAAATTTCACTTTTTATTTTTCTATTTATATTTTTCCAAACTCTTCTTTTATTATTATTTTGTGTTGTTTGGGGCAGATTTTAATTCAGGGCTTAAAAAAATAGTCTCCTGCCCAGTAGGATACTACTATAGACTGAATGATTGGGTCCCTCTGAAACATTCCTATGTGGAAGTTTAATTCATGAGATGAGTGTATTTGAAGGTTGGACTTGATTAGTGCCCTTATAAAAGTGGGCCTACAGAGCTTCTTTGGCCCTGCTGCCACATAAAGTCACAGAAAAAAGATAAACCAGGCATGTAGGCACATGCATGTAATCCCAACAGCTACCGAGGCTAAGGCAGAAGGATCACAACTTCAAAGCCAGCCTCAGCGAATTAGTGAAGCCCCTGACTCAAAAAATAAAAAGGGCTGAGAATGGGATTGGGATGTGGCTCAGTGGTTAAGCACCCCTAGGTTCAACTCCCCATGGGGGGGGGGGGGGRGGGAAGAAAGTAAAAGAAAAAAGACAACCATCTATGAACAAGGAATCAAGAGCTCTCACCAGACATCAAGTCTGCTGATGGACTGTTAGCCTCTAGAACTGTGAGAAATAAATTTCTGTTTTTCACAAGCCACCCAATTTATGGTATTTTGGTATAGTAGCAACTCAAATGGACTAAAACAGACATATTTCATAATAATATCTAACATGTAATGAATAATAATTCTACTCTTTTTCAGATGCAGTTGGTATAGTCTCAGGTTCAGAATTCAGTATAGACTTTCATTAAGTATCTCAAAAATTCAGGTACTGAAAATATAAAAATTTGGTGCTACTCTACCAAACAGTATTATTTGTTTATAACACTTGATAAACTTTAATTGAATACATAATTGCAGTGAATTAAGATTTTTCCATTATTAACAATACTTCTAAGACTATGTAACAGTTAATCACACACCTATGATTTCTTTGTGGAGGAAAACAGAACTTTTCAAAAATTAATTCTGAACATACCTCTAACATTAATTGTGTAAACTCTTCATTACTAAGGAATGTCGGTTTCCAGTCCTGTCGAATTTCACTAGCATCTGACTGTGCAGTGATTTCTGTAAACAGATTGACACATTAGTGACATCCTCCAATCACTCCATTTAAAGATGAGAATGACAGGCAACAACATTTATTGGTCTACATATCAAGAGGCCAGGTTCTGGTGTAAAATAAAATATTTGTGTTAATGTGGGAAGTTATCTCTTTGTTAATACCAGTCAATGATTTTGGTTTTTGTTTTTTAAACCCTAAGGAACTATCTCTGATAGCCTTTATGGATGATAGGCAGGCCTGAGATTGCACTCTGTTTCACGCAATGACCAAATAAGTATAAGAACAAGCAGTTGGGCAAAGTGGTGCAGGCTTATAATCCCAGCTACTCACTTGAGAGGCATATAATATATGAAGAGTAACTAAAAGGCATAGCTACTAATTCCATGGAATACAGTCATTCTTTTAAAATTCATATCAATTACATAAATTTAGGGAAAAGGTCTTAAATTCTCAAGCAAACCCAGTGAAGTTTAAACACAGGCCAATTTCACAGGGTTAAGTACTTAAGAATTACTCTTTAACATAAATTTTATTTTTGTAAAAATTATATATTCAATTTTGGAGGGAAAAATGATCTACTTAATGCTCAAATTAATCCTCCACTGTCAGAGGGAAAAGCATGCATTTTGAGCCATTTCATTCAATAATTATTTATTAAATTCCTACAGTGTCTAAGAAACTGATTTTATAAATATGCCATCTATCAAAGGGTGATGAGATCAGTAAGAATACTATTTATAAAGGTAAAATGTAATGACAGTCATGGCAATAAAAATGAAGGTAAGCAATTCTAATACATTTACAAACAAACCAATAGAATTTGGTAACTCTCTTATGGTCCTGAAATATATAAAAAAAAAAATCCAAAAGTATTTTTAAGTTTGAGTCCTGGCTGACTAAAAAAATGGTGGGATAAAAATGAAAAAAGTAAGTTAAGAGAAAGAAGTGATTTGACAAAAGGAAAATGAAATCAGTTTTAGATGTACCGAGTTTGAGGAGACTATGCAAAAGAAGTATCTAGAAGTTATCTGAAAATACAAGGCTGAATATTTTGTATCTAAAAGATTTGATAGTTTAACCCATTAAGTCTCAAGTTTTCAATTCTGCAAATATTTCAATGAAACTGATGTGGGTTAAAATAGGTTGGAAATCATAATCCAGAACTTGCATATTATTAATATTAGTAAATAAATTAAAAATGTGGTAAAAGTATAATATTATGTAATATATAATACTATATTTAAGCATTTATAGATGTTCCACATCTGGGACAAATGAACAAAATGGGTTAATAGAGATACTATTGCCAAATCTATAGAAGGAGGCAACCAAAGAAAAAATGTAGAGAAATTAAGAGCACAAGGATAAGCCTTTGAGAAACATCCCATTTTTAGAAAAAGAAAGAGGAAAGTAATTTTAATTAAGAAAGGGAAGAAGCAGCACAATTTAGTGAAGCCAAGGGAAAAGAAAGCCAATGAAGAATGGATATAATATTATACAAGAGGATGAGGTGTAAGAAAAAGCTTTTGATTTACTGGGGATGAGTGGATAATGTCATTAATGAAATTAACAACAGTAATTTCAAAGAGTGGTAAAACATAAACCAGTCTAGTGAGGCATTACTAAGTGAGCTAGGGAGAAGTAAAAAAGAGGCTCTAATTACTATCTCTCCTCCTGAAAAGTTCTGCAGTTTCATTTAAATCTGAAAAAGGAAATATCCTTTTATCATTTTTTTCTAATCTAGTATATCTGCTACCAAAACATGTGATATTATTTAATTTTTTTTCCCCTTTGTGCTAGGGTTGTGACCTGGGGCCTTGCACATGATAGGTAAGTGAAGTGCTCTACCACTGAGCTACAAACCTCAGCCCCCTTCAAAATTTCTTTTCATGAATTGTTTAGTTAAGGTGATTTTCATTAATTAACAAATACTCAATTTTTAAAATATCATCTTTATTTCTCAGCTATAAACTGAAATTACCTTTTAAAATAACTTACAAGCTCCCCCCCCCCTTTTTTTTAAAGAGAGAGAGAGAGAAAAGAGAGAGAAAAAATCTTTTAATATTTATTTTTCAGTCTTCAGTAGACACAACATCCTTATTTTATTTTATTTATTTTTTTATGTGATGCTGAGGATCGAACCCAGCGCCCCATGCATGCCAGTGAGCGCATTACCACTTGAGCCACATCCCCAACCACCCACCCTTTTATTTATTTATTTTTTTTAGTTGTAGATGGACACAATACCTTTATTTATTTGTTTTTATTTTTATGTGGTGCTGGGGAACGAACCCAGTGCTCACACATGCTAGGCAAGTGTTCTACCACTGAGCCACAACCCCAGCCCCTTACAAGGCCCTTATTAGATGTGACCTTTTCCCTTCTTTCAAATCACCCATAACATTCCAACAAAACATGCTCCAGTTACAATGAAGTCTCCTTGCTTCTCTTTTGCATATGCTACCTTCTTTTATGTAAAATGAAGTTTTCCTTACTTAATCTAAGACTCAATTGAAAAATTAATTATTTTAAAGTTTTATCTGATATATTCTTTCCTTTTTGTTACCATTGCGAATTTACAGTTTTTAAGCATTATTCATATCATGGTCATTTGTATTATAATTATCTACTTAATGTTTGTCTCCCCCTGGCTTGAGATCTTGAGGACCAAGAATGTTATCCTGCATCATAAAGATCTAGGATATTATAGGCACGAAATAACTGTTAGTTGGGTGAAAGAAAGAACATACCAGGAAATCTGTTTATAAAGGTGATTGGTTTCTTTCATGTCCATAATCCAAGCTACTTGAGAGACTAAGCAGGAGGATCGCTAATTTGAAGCTAGCATGGGCAACTTTGCAAGATCTCTTAAAAACCAATAACAACATTATCAACAAAAAACTCTTTGAATAAAGTTGAGGGAGGATCCAATCTTCCATATCTGTGCCAAGATCCTAACTCATTATACTTTAAGAGATAGTCTTATTTAAAAACAACAACAACAAAAAGTTTTACAAAATAAAATTTACCTTTATGTTTTCGTAAAAAATCAATGCTCTTCTGCAAAACAGTAGATTTGTCCATCTTTCTAGCATTACCAGGAAGCATGGATCCCAGTTCTTTAATAAGAACATTAAATTGATCTCTTCGTTTCTTTTCAGATTTGTTTCTTGATACTCTAATGAGAAAAGAAATTAAATAAGCAGGTTTTTTTTTAAACAAACTATTACAAAACAATTTAAAAACTCAATTTGGATGCAACATAACATGTATTTCTGTAAATACAGATAGTGATAAATATTTATTTCCAAGGTTTCCAACAATATAGGGTTAATCTTGGTAAACCGAGATGAAAATTTGTTGTCAAGATTAACCCTATAAAGAAGCTCTGTTTTATCCAACATTTGACAAACATGTTTTCTATGACAATACCAATAAGACAAACTGAGTTCACATCGCAAGTTTCAGTACTCTAATATTCCCAAGGATTATAAATTTACAAGATTATAAACATTAATGAGATACATTTTATGGAAGTATATGGAATATGTATTAAAAACTAGTGAATAGGAAAAAATTACCCACCTAATGTAAGTTTTAAACTATACACACGTCTAAAAATGAAACTTTTTCTACTCCCAGATTTACTCACAATGGTGAATAATCTATACTTCAAAGACCCAGCCTCCAATATAGAGTTGTAACATTTTTTTTTTTTTTTTTTGGGAAGAGCGGTGACTGCTCACCTGGCTAAGCAACCATGACAAGTTGTAACATTTTGTATCTCTCTCTCCATTAGGAAATGAGCCCCAATTTTTCACCTAAGCATTAATGAATAATTATTGTTATTCTATGTGAAGCAGCAATCAATAAACAAAGGGCTCTTGAGACAAATAAACCCAATTATTTATAAAGCAATTAATCATTTTACAAGAACTCCAATTACTTGCTCTATAAATCAGATTTTCTTTTAGTTTTTGTTTAAGCATAAATATTTTTCCAAAAGGTCAAAGAATAATTTTATTTAATGTATAAGCTGCATATTGATGTTCTAAACTCTTCTCCTTTGCTAATATACATAAATTCTAAAAGAAGATAACTCTTGGAAATCATTAATTTTCTATTTACTCACAATTACATTTATGTATCATTCATTTATTTCCTATTTCACATCTCACATCAAGCTACCTTTTTGCTTTGTCCTTGTCATCTTCTTCCACCAACCCATCAAAAATACTACTGTCATCTCTAAAAGAAAGAAGAAAGTATATAAAGTAAGAGCAGACTAAGCAACAGCAACACTGAAGTGCCAGGTGAATTCATTTGGTTAAATCCTAGGATGTTTGTAAAGTCAATGGATTGCACAAGCTCAATAACTACTAACCTATTTTCTAATAAAGTTCAGCTATGTTTAAATTTTGAAAGTTTTTTACATATGTAAATTTTAGAAGTATTTATCTTAGCACTACTACAGATACACAGCAACAATGCTAAGCAAGAAATTAACCATTTTAAATATCTTGTTTCAAACTTTTAATGACCAGTGAAAACCTATAGAAAGTCCATTTGTCATTATGTAAATTATTCACTTGGAATTATTTTATTAACTATAATAACAGGGCTGTGGTTGTGGCTCAGTGGTAGAGCGATTGCCTAGCATGTTCGAAACCCTGGGTTCAATCCTCAGCACCACATAAAAATAAACAAAATAAAACTATTGTGTCCAACTAAAAAATAAATATTAAAAAACCCAAAAAACTATAATAACATAATTTAACATTTTTAAGACAGTCACTTCATAAAATCAAATTATTCGCAAACATCAAAATATCTAACACATTAAGCCTTTCATTCATTTACTGATCTATTTGACAAATATTTATTAGCACTCATGTGCTGGGGTCTATTTTGGATGTGGTTACAAAGCAGTGAATAAGACATGTAGCTGCTCTCTTACAGCTTATTTTTTAGTAGAAATAAACATGAAAATTTGTGACAATAGGTCTTATTTTTATAAAAGATATAATGTTTTAGTTACTGGGGGTTACTTTAGCTTGAATGCATAAGGAAGGACCAGTCTAGTTCCATTTAGGGAAGGATATATTGAGATGGAGAGCAGTGATCTAAGTGACAAGACAGAGTAGCTATGGAAGGAACCGAGGGAAGAATATTATAAAGAATTACATCAAGAGTACTAGTGGCTAACTTCTTAAGCTAAGGAATGATATTAAACAGTTTCCAGTGGCTTATGAACTTTTGTGTGGATTCTCCATTTACTACTTTAGCCACAGCTTTCTAGGATTCATAAAGCCTAGTAGCCAGGGCTGGCGTTGTGGCTCAGCAATAAGAGCGCTCGCCTAGCATGTGCGGGGCAGTGGGTTCGATCCTCAGCACCACATAATAAAATAAAATAAAATAAATGAACTGTGTCCAACTACAACTAAAACAAACAAACAAAAAGGCTAGAAGCCCATAAGGTGCTTGTTGGATTCACTATTGAGGTAAGCCATAAACTGTGTTTCATGGAAGTCCGTGACTAGATTTTAGAGATTCTATTTATGCCCCCAAATCATAATATTCAGAGACATAAGGAACCCACTTTATGTATCAACACATAGATATCAGACCTAAAGTCCTATTTTCTAGAATGAAAACTGGAAATCATTAAAAAACCTAGGAGCAAAATCATATTTAATCCCTCTGGGGCAGTGAAAAAATATCCCTTCTGAGGGAAGAGTTCTCAGAGATTACATATGCAACTATGGCAGGATCCAAAGCTATAGTCATTGTGAGGCAACCTCCCTAAAGAAATTCCTTGCCCCTCAGGTCTTACGTTCTGGTAGAACACAAATTATCACTATTTAGTTCACAGAAAGGGAAGAGGACTACCTTCAGATGTCAACAGTCACTTCTGTGTGCAACTCATGTAAACTCTTAAAAAAGAATCCTCCACAGGCAAATCACAGTGTGCAATACAATAAAGGCACATAACTTTAGGGTCAGACATATCAACACAGGTTAAGATTCCAGCTCATTGCTTACCAGCTATGTGACCTTAAACAAGTTATTCAACCTCCTTGACCTACCCCTGTAAAATCCTATGAAATTATTGTGAGGTTAAATAAAATAATATGTAAAAATATTTTGGGGCTGGAGTTGTAGCTCAGTGGCACAGTGCTTTGCCTAGCATGTGTGAGGCACTGGTTTGGTCCTTAGCACCACATAAAAATAAACATATAAAACAAAGGCATTCTATCCATCTACAACTACCAAAAATTTTCTTTAAAAAATTCTGTTGAATATTTTTAAAAAATCTTTTTAAAAAATGCTGTTGAAGGGTAGGTGCTTCAAAATTATTCTATTTCATCAAATTTAAGACACTACTGGCTATAAGATTCACCATTACTTATGTATCCTAAGGAAAAAATGCTACCAATTAAATTAAAAGTTAATTCTAAGACTCACCAAATGTTAGATGTTAAAATGCTAAAATACAAAAAACAACAACAACAACAAAAAAACCCTTAGAGTCAAAGAAATAAGGAGGTTTGTCCTTTTCCCAAGAGTGAAATTTAAAGATTACAATTCAACTAATTCAAAGAGATTCCCTTTGAAACTGCAAGCACCAAACTATTTTAACGTCCGAATTTCCTCTAAGAATAAAGGCTGAGGACCTGACCCCTGGATCTAAGGGGCACCAGGGAAGCTGGTAGAATTGTTTCCTAGTTAAACCTACATATATAGATTTATGTATATAATATATGTATATTTTCTACCCTACCTTTTTTCACACTGTGACTCCTCACCTCCTATGAAAGTTTTCTTTTCACCTAAGTCCCCAAAAATGGAAATCTGAGAAAGAAAAAGATCTCTATTTTCCTCAGAGCTGGCTTTGAATAAAACCTATTCCCTCACCAACCTGTTTTCTGAGATTTAGTGGAGCATAATAAAAGGTATTCTCTCACTCCAGTTTCATAATAATCCCAATTATAGTTACCTCTCATCAGTCACAAATGCCAAGATGCTTGAAGGGATGAAGTTAGCACCAAGAGATTCTAGAAGGTGCCAAGGAAACATTTGCAATTGTTACAATTTCCTTCAGAGCAGCTTTTGACCAAAGTATTCAAAATTACAATTCAAGACCTATTTAAATCACAAGCCATATGCTGCTTGCTGACTTTGTTATGTACCTTACTTTATAACATGTTTGTTCAATACAAAAATTAAATATAGTAATTATGTTTAAGCACAAAACTTCTAATGATTTGATATAGACCATTATTTAATAGTGAATTTAAAGTAGCCTTATATAATTCAAAATAAGGAGTTTCTAAAAACATACCTGTCAACAATTGAGCTCATTTTACTACAGCTTACGGTAAACAACATAACATATTACGTTTTCGTCTTGTGGTAGACATTTGTACTTCTCCTTGGACGAAAAGAAAAATAATTATTATTAGTTTTCTAAAACACTTCCTTCTACAAAGTTACCTTGAAAAATATCACATGTTATCATGTATACTATATGTTATATATTATATGTTACCATTTATGTTAATTCACTGATAGGGCTAGGCACTGGGCTAGGTAGGATACTAGGTAGGTAGGTATGCTATGGTTGGAGGAGGAAGAACAATGGAGGTTTATATTTTGTCCCTGGTGAATGGAGCCCTCTCTCTGCTTCCTAGTTGCCATGTCCTGAGCTGCTTTTCTCCACCATGCCCTTTAGTCATAATGTTCTGCCTCAGCTCAGACCCAGGACTTCGGAGTTTGCCTACCATGGACTGACTTTGAAAATGTGAGCCAAAATACACTCTTCCTCCTCTAAGCTGTTCTCTTCTGGTCTTTTGGTCACAGCAACAAAAACTTAATAAACAATCGGCAATAAAAAATCTGATGAAACCCTATTTTCCCCTAACCAGTAGGGCACACTTTGGAAATAAAGGGATGAAAGACACAGTCTCTGTAAGCAAAAATTTGCAATGAACACAGAAGAAGATACTAAATAATTATATTAAGATAAATAATGAGGCAAATATTGGCAAATGGCATCCCTGGTAAAGGAGTAATTAGGTTTGCCCATGGAAATAAGAGGGCAAAGTCTGAAGAAACAGTCTTGAGGACAACAAGTCACGTCAAGAGTCAAGATTCTTGTTACTGAAAGTCTGTTCCAGATGCCAGCAGCATCAACATCTTCTGAGATTCTGTTAATTGGCAAATCTTGGGTTCAATCACAGTCCTATGAATCACAATCTACCTTTTCACAAGATCTCCTTGTAATGTATATAACCATTTAAGTTTGAGAAGTAAAAGACTAAAAGACAGGAAGGGGTAACAGCTGAAAAGACTCTAAGCCAAAGGAATGGAAATTTACAAAAGCACAGGGCTTCATGAAATGAGAGAACTTATTTGGTAACTCAAGAGATTCAGTATTTTCTTCATAGGAAAACTAGGCATATTACAATGTAAAGTTTTAATTACTAGAGCATAAAGTGAAAAGAGGAGTGGTGGAGGGGTGAAGGCAAATCAGTAGAGAAGAGCCTTAAATAAATAAAGGGCCTCACACCTTTTATACACAGAACTCACTGCTTTTAAATTGAATCACAAGCCTAAAATTTGACTCTCTAAATTCTGTGTAGATTTCCTGAAAATATAAGGCAGATTTATCTTATGTCTATAGTCATGAATTAAATACTTAATAACTATCTTGAGTCTATGAAATATACTAACAGTTTTGAGGCATAAGAAATTCTACTTTAAACATAATCATCTTTCTTTAAAAGTTTGAATATGTAACTCCAACTAAACCAAAGAAATTTAAAGTACTACTAAGAAAGGAGAATCTAACATATTCTGCTGTTAACAGACAAGAGTAGTAGGAATATGAAGTTAAGGGGATAATTCTACAGACCAAGCCTGTGCATTGGCCCTCGACATGCTTTCTTTTTTAAAAAAATTATTTTTGTTTTAATTAGTTATACATGACAGTAGAATTCATTTATATACTTTGATATATCATTCATAGATGGGATATAATTTCTCATTTTTCTGAGTGTACATGTTGCAGAATCATATTGGTCATGCAGTCACATATATACATACAGTAATAATGTCTGTTTCATTCATCTTTCCTATCCCCACATCCCCTCCCCTCCCCTTCCATCACTTCCCTCTACCTAATCTAAGGTGATGTTATTCCCTAGTGCCACCTGCCTTATTGTGAATTAGCATCTGCATATAGAGAAAACATTTGGCCTTTGGTTTTATGGGGTTAGCTTATATCACTTAGCATGATATTCTCCAACTCCAACCATTTACTGGCAAATTCCATAATTTTACTCTTCTTTAAAGCTGAGTAATATTCCATTGAGTACATATACCACATTTTCTTTATCCATTCATCTACTGAGGGATACCTAGGTTGGTTCCATAGTCTAGCTATTGTGAATTGAGCTGCTATAAACATTGATGTGGTTGCATCACTATTCCTATTAAAATCCCAATGACATTCTTCATAGAATTAGAAAAAGCAATCATGAGATTTATTTGGAAAAATAAGAGACCCAGAATAGCTAAAGCAATCCTTAGCAAGAAAAGTGAAGCAGGAGACATCACAATATCAGACCTTAAACTATACTACAGAACTGTAGTAATAAAAATGCATGGTATTGGCACTAAAACAGATGTGTAGACCAATGGTACAGAATACTAGACACAAGAGACAAACCCACATAAAAATGGTTATCTCATACTAGACAAAGGTGCCAAAAACATTCACTGAAGAAAAGATAGTCTATTCAATAAATAGCAAAACTGGAAATCCATATGTAGCAAAATGAAATTAAACCTCTAGCTATAGCCCTATACAAAAAATCAACTCAAAGTCAATCAAAGACTTAGGCACTAGAACAGAGACCCTGAGTCTAATAGAAGAAAAAATAGGTCCAAATCTTCCACCACGTCAGCCTAGGATCTGACTTCCTTATCAAGACTACTAAAGCGCAAGGTGTAAAATCAAGAATTAATAAATGGGATGGATTCAAATTAAAAAGCTTTTTCTCAGCAAAGGAAACAATAAAGTGAGGAGAGAGCCTACAGATTGGGAGAAAATCTTTACCACATGCACCTCCAATAAAGCATTAATCTGTGGGATATATAAAGAACTCAAAAAACTCAACACCAAAAAAGCAAATAACCCAATCAATAAATGGGCTAGGGAACTGAACAGACACTTCACAGAAGAAGAAATACAACTAATCAACAATTATATAAAAAAGTGTTTGACATGCTTTCTTTTAAAAGCAATTACCTAAGACCAGTTTGGTACTGCTCTGGCTTAAGTCAATAGGATGTTACATTCGTTGCAAAACAACTTGTTATCCTCACAGCTATTCGCAAGAAATGGAATACCCCACCCTGCCAATGAGGAGGACATAACTTGTCCTGAAAGGGAACTTTTGAGACCTTTATACAGACCAAAGTTTTGAAGAATCAGGAAGAGAAGATAATTAGAAGCAAAAGTCAATGAACATAAAATCTCTAAAACATGTTCCAAATAGAGTTGGTCACCATGAGCCAAAGTGACCGAGAGTTGTCTTCAGATCTTCAGCATATCATTTTAATATCTCTGTAATAGTAACATCTACCGCACCCCCCATAGATTTTGCCAGGGTACCTGTCGGTAAAATAACGCACAGCAGAGACTTAAAAATCTGATGCTATTCTACTGTCAGTCAGGAATTGGGAGGTAGTAGCTACGTGGGACTTTCTAGAAACTTCCATAAAACCCCAGTTTTAAAAACTAAGGAACAAAGGGGCGAGTTGTTCCTGTCTGGAGACAACCCATTCTTTCCCTTGAGGACATCTTTCCTTTCTCCTAAACTTTGCTATACTACATTTGGTGTTTTGTTTGACATTTTCTCCAGTGGTAACACAAGAACTGAGTAACAGAATATGACCTTTGGACCATAGCTGATAACACTGTGTCTGTTTTCCAATGGACTTTCATAAGCAGAAGAGAGAATAATGCTTGATAAATGAAACTGCACTGTCTTTATAGTTTTGGCTGCAGAAAAGGCACTGTGAAGGCCAAGAATTCTTAAAAGAAAATGACTGAAGGAGTCAAAAGTAAGAGTTAAAAAGACTAACACCTGATAAAATACTCTGATTTTTAAGTGTCCGGGCTAACATGTGCAAATGGAACATATAATTGCAGAAATTTACGGCCAGAAGAGAATTTAAAGATCATTTAAGAACACTCCCCTGATCCAACAGAAGAAATACTTATCATGGTAATGATAGAGATTGGCTCTATCATTAGACAAAAAGAATAGGGCAAAGGTAACAGTCAGTTTGGGTGAATTAAAAAAGAACAGTACTACTGAAAAGGTCAGATTTGAGCCTTATTTAACAAGACACCTTATAAGCCATCAGGATGCCTGTTTAGTTATCAAAGGGTAGAAAATCAAGATGGTGGAGTAGAGGGTGGCTATGATTTCAGTTGCTCCATGGTTTGAGATTCAAGCAGCAGGATTACTGCTTCTCAGTGAGTGATGGGATGCTATTGGGACACTACAAATTAAGAGGGTAGAGACTCTGCTGCTGAGCTAATCCCAGCCAAGAGAAATGCTGTATCTTGCTCCACACACAAACTACCATGCTCAAACTTTGTGATATTTTGATGATACAAACAACTGAAGTGACAAAAACTCCAAACTAATGACCAGGCCCTAAGTATGAATGGCTTGGGAATGGCCCTTGGGCCCCACACATAGACACCCACTCCTACGGCAAAAAGAGAATTAAAACAAACACTGGGATGGGTGCAGTAGCACATGCCTATAATCCCAGCAGTTTGGGAAATTGAGGCAGGAGGATCACAAAGCCAGCCTCAACAACTTAGGGAGACCCTCTGCAACTTGGCGAGACTTTGTCTCAAGATACAAAATAAAAAGGGTTGGGACGTGGCTCAGTGGTAAAGTGCCCCTGGGTTAAATCCCTGGTTTAAAAAAAAAGAAAAGAAAAAAATGACTGTGGATACCACATCTAAGAGGGATCTCCAATCTATTTCTCCCAAACCATTTAAGAATGTCTACAGTTGTTAAGTGAAGAAGAGCAACCACACAAGATGTACCTCACATACCCTGCTACATACAGCACAACTACCAAATCTCCACGAGGACCTGACTCTTTTGAGACCTATAAAGAAAGTGGAATCCTCAAGCTCTAACACAAAGTACACTATATCAAAATATGCTACTCATCGCCAAAGAACTAACAGGGAAACTATATTTCAAAACCCACTTGGAAATATATTGAAAAACACAACAACCTGATATCCAAAAATACCTTGGGCAAGAGAAAACTAGGTAGGCCCTAAAAAGAACTACACGTAAGCCAGGGAGAGAAATGTACAAAACTCAACAAAGA